CACTTGTAACTAATAAATAAACCTCTTAAATTAAATAAAGTAATAGTACATATAGTAAACACTTGCCTTGTTGAGTTTGTTCATTTGGTATCTAATTATTGGGTTTAATTAGTACCTACTATCCAGGTTAGGTTTTTCTTTGACGAAAGTCGTTGATTTACCCATGACAGTATATATAGTATTAGTTATTTTTATTTTTTTATTTTTTTTTTAATATTTAAGATAAAACTTTGCTTTTATCTTTATTAAACTTAATAAAAACTTTTTACATAATTGAAAAAGGTTTTAAATTTTAAGCCTAGTGCTAAGAATAAAAACTCAGACATCTAGAAAACCTAATAGGTAATCTAAATATTTATCTGCGGCCTAAACCTATTAGTTATATTTATTTAGTATTAGTTATTATTATAGTTACAGTATATTTATTAGTATAGTATTAGTTATTATCTTTATTATTGTATTAGTTATAGAAATATTATTGGCTAGTTATATATGGTACAGTAATACTGTACGAGTGCCTCTGAGTGTCTCTACACAAATGCCTCTAAGTGCCTCTATACGAGTGCCTCTAAGTACCTCTGCACAAGTGCCTCTAAATGCCTTTGCATGAGTGCCTCTAAGTGCCTCTGTACGAGTGTCTCTGAGTGCTTCTTACACGGGTTAGCTATTATACCTCTTATGTATAGAAAAGTTATAAAAAAGAAGCTTTTGTCTCTTTTACTCAAGGCAGAGTTAATTAGAGTTAGTTAGCCTTTTCTACTCCTCTCCTAGAATCTAACCCTACCCTCTTATCTTGTATAAGTGATATACTCCCTCTAGGATAATTCTAGCAGGTGAGGTTATCCTTCTTAATTTATAATAAATAAAGTATTAACTTATATACTGTCTCTATGTTGAACTATTTGCCTTTTGCTAGTGGAAGTAGTGTATATTCCACTTCCATCCCATATACACTCCAACAGTAGAGTCCCTGCACCGGATGATCTTGTTACCTTGCTACGTGTTAACCAAGAAGGTCGTAGCATTGTAACAATACAAGCAGTAATTGTATAGCATACAATAACAGTATTGTAAAAACCTAGGATTACTTAGCAGAATGTTCTTATTACAAGACAATATAGCAATATATTAAGAATATAGCAATCGATTTAGTATAGTCCAAATTCACAAAAGAAGAAAAATATCTCTGTTTAAAAAGACTTCTTTATAGGATCTTAATCAGAGTTACAAAAGTCAATAAAAGTGAAAAAAGAAAGTTGTGAATTAAAAGCTTATCTACTATTAACTCTTTTGACAGAATCAAAAATCTTTTAAATTTAACAAAAATAACTGCAGATTCAATAGAACTTACCATGTATATGATTTGGTTTTTATGACTTTATATGAAAAAATAAATGCATCAAGATCAATGAATAGAAAAAAAAGCAAACCATAAAAAAGAAGGATAAGAGAAAATCGATTGATAAGGGAGGTGTCAAATATCAGATGATTTTTTGGAGAGGTCAAAAATTTTGGAAATTACATATATAAAGGTAGGAGGGTAGGCCACTGATAAAAAAAAAATCAGGTGATAAATGATACGGCCCTAAAGAAAGTAACATATTGCCCAACTCTAAAAGAAAAAAAAACAAAAATAGAGTTAAAGGAAAAGAAGTATCAGTAAAGAAAAAGAAGACAAAAAAAACGTGGTATGATACTATTTTGAGTTGGATGCAAAATGGTATAAACCACTTTTGGACAAGCTTTTAAAGAAAGCTCTTTTTCTAGCTTATTTGTAAGCTAGTGCGATAGGTTGCATCTAAGTACCTTCATAGGCAACCAGGTGAAGTCAGGCTTTTAGTTAGTTTTAGAAATAAATGTATATAAATTAAATGTACTAAAAACTAAAAGATCAAGCTATGGCAAGACTTGTCAAAGATTAAAAAAAAAATGCATACTATCTATAAAAAACTTTTTGATACATTTAGACAATACTGTATATGCATTTATACAAAATCTTGTAATCAGTATCATTTATGTAATATAAATAACAACTAATAGGAATTTCAGAATTGCTATAACCAATACTATTAAAATAAAATTTTTATTTTATAAATTTCAAACTTATAATTAATAATTTTCTTTTATTAAATATTGAAGGTTTTGAAATTTACTAATTTTAAAAACAAGTAAGTTTAAAAATTATTTATAAGCTAAAGTTTAGAATTAAAAAATTAAATAGGTTTAGCCAGTAATAAAGTTAGCTTCTTTTAATAAATATATATATTCATATATCAAGTACAATTTAAAGTCATAAAGTAAAATTATTTAATATTACTGTATACTGGTGTTTTTAATTAGTTAATTATAATTTTTTAAATGCATATTGTCTTTTTTTTTTATATATTATACAATTAAAGAAATTATGCATTTATTAATAGAAACCAAGTTGATAGGCAAAAATTGTATATAGTTAGACAGTATATGTATTTAGACAATATATATTTAGACAGTGCCAACTGTAGTAGTTACTTTTATATTTTGTAATATAATTGTAACTATATAAAGGTTATCTTTATATTAATTACATCTTTTATAATTATAGCTTTTTGTATTTTAAAGGTATAACTATAAAAAGAGATAACTAAGAGGTGTGGCAACTTAGTGTAGTTGTTTAGTTATTACTTTCTTCAAGTGGCAAGTCTAAAGTTCGAATCCCACTAGCAACGATTTTAAAAAATAGATATACAGTTAATAGTGATCTATTAGTTGGATTTAGATTAATCTATAACTCTGGTTATACTGTCTAGTAATGAAAGCTTTAGCACAATAAATCCAAAGAACCAGAATAACTGAAAACTTGTTTGGCAAATTCTGAGTTTGAAGGTAGTAATGATTTTTAACAGTACACAGAAAAGCTGAATTTGAACTAAAGTCCAAGATTGGAAAACCAAGAGATCAGGTCCTTAAGTAGGAAATACACTAGCCAAATCACCAAGCTAATATACTAAAAGAAAAGGGCATACACTTTAAAAGTATAGACCAAAGAGAGGGTAATCATGAAATACCTAAAGTCTAGGCAGACTAACTCTTCCAAGTTGCTAGCTAGAAGGAAAAAAGAGACCAATAAAGAATCCAGATAAGAAAACAGGTATCGAGGTTGTTGTGAACTAAATAAGAGCAAATAAGTATATAATAGGCACCTAATTAGGAAAGTTGGTGCTTGAGAAATATTTGTAGAATAGTAGCACTTCAAAAGGTGGCATGAGATTAGGGTGTCTGGCATAGTGGCAAAGGTATGCCAATAGTAGTATGCCAAAATTTTTTTGGTGTATTAGACATCCTATGTGAAATATATATACAAAATAGTAGATCAATATGTGGGCACTGTTCAGTAGAAAGGGGGGAATCTACATTTTGGCTAAAAAATTTTTATTAGCTCATTAAATGAAGCATAACCAGTTATATAATTTTAATTAAAAGTTATATTATGTTTGTTTAATAATTTTTTAAGTTTTACATATAACGTTTACTATCTAATACTGTGTATAGTACCTGGTGTAATACGATTTTTACATAGTGAAAAATTAAAAATCACAATTGTTTACATCACATGGCACATGTAAATAATATTCTAAAAATAGATCTACATTATTTGTCACCAGGTATTGTTTTGATCTACAAAAAATGTGATTTTCTCAAAATTTTTGATCTAATCTAAATGCAGATTTCTCCCTTTTCTATTGAACAGCATCCATGTACTAATTAGAAAGAAGTTATAGAAACATACAAGTAAATATATATAGACATATATCACTCTGTTAGGTTTACCTCAAGGATAGACTAGCTTAAGTTGGTAAGTTTTAAGATAGAATGCAAAATCTATATAGATGATACTAAAATCTACTTCCAAATAGTAAAGAAATCTTGGATTAGAGTGATGTTGGTAGTAGTTAGAACCAAATAGTTTAAATGAGTAGTCTTTATAGTTAGATACAGGTACAGTAAATAGTGTGAAACCCTTAGCATAGCACTAATACTTTGGATAAACTACTTAAATTAGATACCAAAAGTGCATATATAGCTTGATATATCATTATTGTAATTATATTATAAAACACTAGCTAAACTTTAATAAAACATTCTCCAGACCAAAGAGATTACCTTAATACCAAAAAAATATATAAAAGGAGATGATTATATTAAAAAAAAAATTTAGCACTTGTTTAAAAAGCCAACTAGATTAGAAAATTAAAAAAAAAATAAAAATATAATATATAAAAGCAATAAAAAATAAATACTAAAATTTAAATAGCAAATAGATAGGTATATAGTCGACTTTCTCTAAATGCATGTTGTCAGAACCAGTACTTTGACCTGCATTTAAAAAGAACCTGCAATTAGAAAAAAATTAAAATTATTAAAAATTTTATTAATAAAAAATAATAAAATATTTAAAAATTAATAACTTTTGATCTATTGATCCAATTTGGATGATTTAACTACCAAAATGATCCTCTCATAGTATTGTTTCTAATAAATCTAAAATTAGCTAAATCTAATTATATAATCTTACTCAAGATTGTTAATAATTTGTATTTTATTTACTATAATAAATATAATATAAAACATTAACTATTTCGCGTTCACGTAATCAGATTTGGTTGATTTTAGATTCATTAGAATCGCCTCTATGAGAGGATTATTTTGGTAGTTAAATCATCCAAATTGGATCAATAGATCAAAAGTTATTAATTTTTAAAGATTTATTATTTTTATAATAATATTTTTTATAAAATATTATATTATTATATATTATTAATTTATATTATTATTAGGGCATTATTTTATGGCGACCCGTCACCATAGTGACCTCATGACCGACCAATTAAGATCGATCACATGTATAAAATTTTTTTTATTAAGTTTTTTTTATTAGGCTTTTTTTTTATTAAATTTTTTTATTATTTTTATTAAGTTATTTATTTATTAATAATTTTTTTTTACAATAGTAGGACGAAATGACAACAAAAAAGCAGAAGAAAACAGGTCGAAAATGGTAAGAAACAAGACGAATAAAGCAAAAGAAAATAGACAAAAATGATATAAAAACGGCAAAAACAGTAAAAAAATGAAGCAGAAGATAAAAACGACGAACTAATGCACTTACATAAAGAACTCACGAAAAGCTTATTAAAGAACTACCAAAATCGAAGAAGAATCTGCCAAAAATCGACAAAAGAACCCATGACAAACTTACCGAAAAATTCACCTAAAACCGATGAAAAACTTGCCAAAGAACACGCCAAAAATGACAAACTTGCTAAAGAACTCATCGAAAAGATGAACAAAATTTACTGGAAGATCTATATAAACACGAAAAATCAAGAAATGGAATACACGAAGACACACCAAAATATGAAGAACTTAAAGAAAAAAAAAAACCTACTGAACTACCGAAAAATTCACTAAAACAACAAAAAACTTGCCAAAGAACCAATCAAAAAACAGCACCAAAAACGACAAACTTGCTAAAGAACCAACTGAAAAATGACGAGCAAAATTTACTAGAAGGTCTACATAAATGCGAAAAATCTAAGAAACAGAATACACGAAGACACCAAAATACGAAGAACTTAAAGAAAAAAAAAACCTACTGAACTACTAAAAAATTCACCAAAAACGACAAAAAAACTTGCCAAAGAACCAGCCAAAAAACGGAGCAAAAATAACAAACTTGCTAAAGAACCCACCAAAAAGCGACGAGCAAAACTTAACTAGAAGATCTACATAAATGCGAAGAATCTAAAAAACGGAATACACGAGGACACACCAAAATACAAAGAACTTAAAAGAAAAAAAAAATCTATCGAACTATCAAAAGAACAAGAAATTCATGACCCAAACATGGCTTCATGACAGCTTCAAAGCTCCAATAATGGCCCCAAAGATGGTTCCAACAATGGCTCCAACTTCAACGACGATTTCGTTAACGGTTCCAACAATGGCTCCAATAACAACGATTTCGTTAAGGCTCTAGCGATGATAACTGAAAAAAAAATATTAACATTAGTAAAAAAACAAAAAAAAAAAATAATAAAATTAAATAAAAAAAAAAAAAAAAAGATCATCTATATGATTGCCAATCTAAAAAATGATTGGTTGATTATATAGAGGTTGTATAGCGACAGGTCGCTATTTTATTTTTGCCTTATTATTAAAAGAAATAAAATATATAAATTTTAATTGTTTTATTATCTAAATAAATATTCTCAAATTTGATTGATTAATTATTAAAAATGTATTTAAAAAGAATATTTTTATATATATAATTTGAAAAATAACCAGCATTTAGAGAATATAGAATATGCACTTATTTTATAAGTCCCAACTTGGAACCAGGCTATTTTCATGCATATAGAGAGAAAATGCACTTAGAGGACATGTATTTAGAGAGAGTCGACTATATATTACTTTAGTATATTTACCTTAAAGATAAATTAGAATAATTAAATTTTTTTTTTTAACTTCAATGATTTTGTCATTAACTTTATTACTTATTTAAGCGAACATTATATGGGCTTGGTGCTACAGAAAAGGGGGAAATCGACAAATTTTCAATTTTTTTTTTTTTTTACACAACTCAATTTAGAATAATGTTAGGATCATTTTTCACTTAAAACATGAAAGAAGTTGTATTA